TTGCTTCCCCCTGCCCCAGCCCCCCCACATAGCTCCACCACGGTCTTCCCTTCCCTAGGCTAGGTCTACACTGGCAGGTTATTGCACAAGTACAGCCGTTCTTGCGCAAGAATCTGCAGAGCATCTACACTGCCCACCCCACCCGCTCTTGTGCAAGTAAATTTACAGTACGGTGTGATAAGAGAAGGCTCCTTGGGCAAGAGTTACTTTTTATCAGGTGTAAGCCCTCTTACGCAAGAGGGCAGTGCGGACACTCGGCAGGGATTTCTTGCGCAAGAGAGCGTCCACACTGCCATGGGCGCTTTTGCGCAAAAGCACAGTGCACACATGGTAGTGTGGACGTGTTCTTGTGCAAGCCTTCTTGTGCGAGAAGCCACCAGTAGAGACATAGCCCTACTGTCTCCTTGGACCCAGCCCCCTCATCACCCCCCAGCCCCCGACAAGCCAGATCCCTCCTGCCCATTTTGCAGTGTGGTGGCTGCTTCCAGGCAGTCCCTGTATGTTGGCAGGGGTGGACAGAGCAGCAGCAGCACATGTGCATGCAGGGGCCCAGTCCCACTGGGGAGGACGCATGCTGACTCTGCACAGCCTCCCTCTGTTATCCAGTGGTGGCAGGCGAGGAGCCAGGACAGCTCTTGGGGGGCACCGAGGGCACTTGAGTGGGGAACCAGGTCACAGAACCATAGAATCCAGGGCTGGAAGAGATCTCAGGTCATCGAGTCCAGCCGCCTGCCTGAAGCAGGACCAACCCTAACTCCATCATCCCAGCCAGGGCTTGCTGGATCTCCATGCCCCCACCTCCAAGTCTCACAGCAGCACTGGCTCCCTGCTGCGTGGAGGAGGATGGGGGGCTGAGCTCGAGCTGCAGCCCACCTGGGAGGCAGCTGTGGACAGGAGTGGTTCAGAGTGCATTGAGAACCATTGATTTAATGCTTCCTTTTTGCACTAATCATGAGTGTGGCATCCTGCCAAAACTCCTGTTTGTCACGTGGGTCCTGCAGCTGAGCAGGCCCGGGATGGACCGTTCGATCCTTGAAATACATAGCCTGGGACCCGGCGAGTGCAAACAGCAGCTGGCCCTTAGCAGCTCTAACCCACGCACTTGAGCTGGGAAACTACTAACCAGTGAACAAGTCTGACCTCAGGCTCAGCTCAGGAGAATGTTGAGTGGCACTGAACCAGTGTGCACACCCACTAAACAACTGGGCTATGTTTACAATCGCGGCTTCTTGCGCAAGAACACATCCACACTGCCATGTACGTGCTGTGCTTTTGCGCAAGAGCGCCCATGGCAGTGTGGACACTCTCTTGCGCAAAAAAGCTCTGATGGCCATTTTAGCCCCAGGGCTTTCTTGCGCAAGAAATCCCTGCCGAGCTTCCACACTGCCCTCCTGCGCAGGAGGACTTACACCTGTCAAAAAAGAGCATAGCTCTTGCGCCCTCTCTCGCCACGCCGCACTGTAAATTTACTTGCGCAAGAGCGGGCGAGCAGTGTAGACGCTCTGCGGTTTCTTGCGCAAGAACGGCCATACTTGCACAAGAAGCCGCAAGTGAAGACATAGCCCTGGAGCATAGGGAGTCCTGTGCCCAGTCAGGCTCAAAAAGGACCTAGACCTCAGAGGGTGCCTTGGATTCCCCCGGCTGGAGCCACGTCTACTGCGGCCTGGTACAAGGTGGCAGGACCAGGACTCCCCGCAGACTGAAGCATTTCTAAGTGCCTGTGACTCTCTTATGCATTGCTCTGCCTTGCTTATGGTGTCGGTTTGCAGTAGCTGTGTAACCGTTGGGCAGTACTAGCTCAGAGCAGTGACATACGATTATGAAAAGAACCTAGCCCTGATCGACTCTGTTGCGAAGTGAATACATTGTTCTGTTTGGCCATGGCCCTGTGAGTGACACTGTTACCTTCAGTTGAGATACACTTCTTTGCCCCAGCAGGTCACTGCTCCAGGAGCAAACCCTGCCTCTCTGGGCCCACTCAGATCCATTTTGTCCTGTATTGTCTCCCTGTGAGGAATAAAGTTTGCTATATGCACCAAGGCGCACACAGACGTGCACCACCACTAGAAAAACATGCTGCTGCCTGCGTGTACATGCTCTGTAAACTTCCAGG